TGTGGCTACAGTTAGCCGGAAATCCGGTATGAAAACAGGTTTTGTTCCTTAAGTTTTAGCTTTAAAACGATCTGATCTTTTGTCAGTTTTTCACAACACGTAGTGGCTAGGATGCACTTGTGCAAATATTGCCAAATTGAGCAGAAACCATACGATGTCATCACATCCGAACTTATGAATTCAAAAATTTTATTACTTTACTTGGTTGAAAGTTTATGTGAATGACAGTATTATATATCAAATTGCCGAGAGAATGTCGTCTTTTTGTTGTCGAAAACCGGCCCCTCATATGTTTGGCATGACAGCAGCGCTATTTGCTTTTATATATCGCGCCAGATGAAAAAGTAATGCAAAAAATAGAACGAAAATTCTCTCCTCTGGGCAGTTTTTAACGGAATGTTATTTGGTTTTTAGAATTCGGATATACGCATAGGCAGCGAGTAAACAAATCTGCGCAAGTGCATCCTAGATTAGGCACCAATGACGGCTAGTATAGAGCTGATGGTTCTTCGATTATATGTTCGTTAGTTTTCTTTTTTTATTTCACGGTCCAGTGAATCCAAGCTTCTTTTAGCCAGGATTCAGGCTTGGCTAGAACGCTGGATATGAGTGGCTCGTTCTTCGCCATCACGGCTGTAGAGAATAGTTTGTACATTTGAGCCGATGCCAAATGTATCTTCTCCGTCGAAGACGAGTTGCTCCGGTGGTGACGATATGCCATGCCCGCGAGCTACGATCTGTAAAATAACTCGTGGAAAAGTGGTAATTAAAGACGATAGAATGCCAAAAAATTGGTCGGAAGTTCTAGCTCCTAACTTTTCTGATTCTTGAGTCGAAAGTGGGGTGATAAAATATAAACACAAACACACATGTGCATACACAAAACCTCTTGTCAATATGCGTTTTGTGCTGTGTAACGGCAGTACAAAACACATATTTGTCACGGGGTTGTCCGTGTTTGTTTGTGTGTGTGTATGTGTATGTGTATGTATGTATGTGTGCCCGCAGCAACTTGTCCGCACCTTCAACTCGGGAACCACAAAAGCTAGGAAGCTTTAGGGGGGTGTTCCCCACCTATGTGTGACCCGTAAATTTAAAAATTTAGCCTCTCCGTACCCGCGGGTAACACGTGCGGCCCCGTAGAAGTTTTGGCGGGTAAAATTGTTATCACAGGAACCACAGAAGCTAGAAGGCTGAAATTTTGCGGACATATCCCCTGCCTACGTACGACCCAGAAAATTTAAATTTAGACTTCTACTGCCCACAGGTAACACGAACGGCCCTGTGAAAATTTTGGCGAGTAAATCACAAAATCTACGAGGCTGAAATTTCAGGGTAATGACCCCTGCCCATGCACGAGCTTGCAAATTCAAGTTCGGTGTTCCCGAACTCTCGGGTATCGCTTGCGGCCCCATGAAAATTTTAGCATGTTAATTATTACCTTGGGGACAACTGGATCTAAGGGGCTGAAATTTTAGGGCAATGACCCCCTGCCCATGTATGACATTGCAAATTCATGTACAGGGTTCTCGCGCTTTCGGGCACCATCTACGGCCCCCTGAAAATTTTGGTGGGGAAATTATTGTCCCAGGAGCCATAAAAGCCAAGAAGCTGCAGTTTTACGGTATTGCCGGTGCGTGTGATTTTATTTGTCAGTGTGTGAAATTTTCGATATTTTTCAACGTTTCAACTATTTTTGCACAGACTAAAGTACAAAGCAGCGAAAATCATTAGCAGGCAATCGTACGGTGGGCGAATTGCACAAAACGCATGATCGCACCGGTTAATTTGGTGCGCGTTGCTACTTATTGCCTTTGTATAAATATGCAAAAACGCATAATTAATATTCACGACTGAAGACGCATGAGATTTACGAATATTCTGTTTTATGCGAAGTGAGTTAAGAACATTCTCTCTTATGCAAAGTGAGTGTCATGATCGTCAAGTAAAACTGGAAATTTTTCGGACCTAGGATACATCTTGAACAAATATTGTACTTTTTCTCTTCTACGGTTTACAGCATAACTAACAACAGCACTGCCTAAAACTTAATAATTTCATGATTTCCAACAAAAAAGTTGTGCTTCCGCCCCTAAATATTCGGTCCGTGTGATTAGAGATACTCGCTTATGGTCTCTGGTTGATGTCCTCGCCTGAATATACTGGGAAATTGTGCACGCATAAGCAGTCACAATACTGTTCCGGTTGAAGAATAACGTTCATTCTTCTTTCTCCAGTACTCAGTCCTTTTAATGCTATAAGCCACTATTCGCCAGCATACTGAGTTACAAGTTTTGTTACTTCGTTCTCCCCATTCGTCATGCTGTACTAACGGAAAATTTTCGTCAGTGGCCACATGCACATAATAGCAAATATTAGCTTTCAAAGTCATAGAATTCACGAAAAATCTTTTTTTTTTTTTGAAAATCATCAAATAAGTAAAGTTGAATTTATCAAAGCCGCAATGACTGGGTAAAGTTCAAACGTATGCACCAACCTTAACGCTTTTTCCGGGTCTAAGGATGAAGTCACGTGGCATCGTGTAAACGATTTCCTTCTTTCCGTCAATTTTTCTCTTCAGTTTCCATTCACCAATCATTTCTTCCTTGGCACGATGGGTATTTTGTAGCACGACAAATGTGCCGTCTGCTGCTGCTTCCTGCAAACTATCACAACATGATCATCAACAATCAACTTACGATTAACAATTGTTACCGAATTTAACGTGACAACAGAAGCTGTTAACATTTCTGACACAAAAGTATATTTTGCATCTGATTCCAATTCTGTCAACTCCTTTAAATTGAAATTAAATGTGTTTCTTAAATTTCTGTGGAAAAATTTTTCGCTAAATTTTCAAGAGATTTCAAAATTTGCTTAAAAAAATTCTAATTATTTTTGAACACTCATAGCAAATTAAATATTCATTATCAGCTAGCGTAAGCGCCCACAACAAGCACTTCAGTTGCGAGGCATTTTGATAACCAGAAAACATCATTTGTGTGGTACGCAAACTGTTACTGACAATTTTTGACTTTGCCGTCTGTCAACATGACGTTGCTTCCAGGACCGTGCTAGACCAACAATAAGCATTTACAGACATAAAGGGTTCGATATTACCAAAATGGAACGGTTCCGTCTTAGATTTTGCCCCAGGAACCGATCTATGCTCTGCAAATTTAACCCTGACGATTCAGGAATTAAAATCCTAATCAGCACATTATTATCATAAATAATGTTGGCTCATCACTGACAAACAATGATTGTCCGCAAAATAAGTTAACTTCCTCTTCATTCCTTCCTTCTCTCACTCTTTCTGCCCCCTCTGGGCTCTTCTCTTCCTCATATGTGTCTTGCAAATTAGTCACATGACTGCTCAGTGCATGACGGGTAGGAAGCTGTGCTGATGATTCAGACTCCTACTCGCACGCAAAGTTCGGTCCGTGCTTACAGCTAAGAGATGAAAGACAGACTGCATTCTAACAAGTCCTCATAACTAGCTTTTCTCAGGTATCCGCAGTATCATTTATTTATTTAATAAAATTTGTTTTTTTTTCCAGTGGAGGAAACGGAACACCTGTATGGAAACGTTTCCTTTAGCGGATCTCTGAAACGAAGTACGCGACGCAGCTTCGCCCTTCACAATACGCATCATTTCTGCAAAATCCTCTCAGTTTATTTTACAGTAACCATTTCATTGCGCTGCAACAGAAATGCACCCGAACATAAAACAATTCTCAAAGAATTGTTAGCGCCAGAGAAGCTTAAAATCTTCAATTGCTGACGAATAGGACGTATTATTTGAAGAAATAACGATGCTTATCATTTGGGCTGATACAGTTTTTGCAACTGCGGATGCATTTTTGATCGAAACGCCAAATTAAGATGACGAGCACTTGTTCTGGCTAATGATTTCTTTCTGTTCTCAGCTGAAGAAATATGTGGAAACAATACCAGTATCATCGTGTTGACTTAGTTCATGAGTGCGCACAACCTGTTCCACCAGCTGACGCAGTCCAGCACGATTCTCCTCACCTTCCAACATTTTGCGGTAAATCGCTATTTCAGCATCTAGTGTCTTAATAAATAGGGTTCATTTTGGACAGATCTTGAGGTTTCAATTTACAGATCATTATAAGTTCTCAAAAATCATTTGGAATTATATTTTGATTGCGTTACAAAAGATTCTGTTTTAACAAACTGACACACTTATTGCCTCAAATATGTGAAATCGAAAAAAATGAAGAGATTTTTCGGGAAGAACAATCAGATAATAATTAATTCAGGAAGTGAAACGAATGTTCTGTTGCGTACTAAAGCGCACTCAGTTAGCTACCCAAACTGGATATCATCAGTTGCAGCTGGTCCAAGGAAAATCGTTCGTTCTTAAATTTAATATAAGTCACAAATTTTAAGTAATTTAACAGAACATAATAATTGTTAGCTCTTAACCTGTTTCGTGTCCAGCAGCATTTGCAGTTCAACCATTAAAGCTTGACATTCCTCTCGCATTTTCCGAATTTGCGCATCTCGATCATTTAGCGCTGCCTCATAAGACCGCTGATCGTCTTCTAGTTGATAGTTTAGCTCCTGGATTTGCTTCTCTAGCAGCGAATTCTGCAAACAAACTGAATGGTTACCCATCTGGCGCGGCGACTGAATTCGA